AATGATGGAAGAGCATGGGCTAAAGGCCCAACCACTAGAGCTATGGCCAGGAGGTTACTTGAAGATTTGACTGCTTCAGAGCTTAGTGGGCCCAATAGGCTTGGTGGGCCTAGGGTGCTTCTCACTTGGGCTTTGATTGATTGAACACCATGTTTAATTGTATTTTCTTAGTATAGGAATTTACTTTGATGTTGGTCTTGTATTTTGACCATAGATTAGGGTTTAGGTGTCTTGGGCTTAATTTTGGGCTTCTTGGGCTTTGGGCTTTTGATACCCAATATTAGGCTCATTCTTCTTCTTGTAATTTTTCCTATTCATTGTATTCATTAGACCAATGTATTTCGGTCAATAGATTAGGTTTATAGATAGAATACATTAATAGGAGAAATAGGTTTCATTTATGCATCATTTAGAAGTAATTTGATTTGAATTTGAGTCACATGGATGGCATGGAGTGGTTCCGGCCATGTGAGCTCCAAATTCACTTCAAATCACTCCTAAATGACACTTAGATGAGGGTAGCATCCGTGTGAGCATATGAGTTGGCCAAAGTTTGAATTTCAAATTCAAATTTGAAATTCAAACTTGGCGCCAACTAGGTTTACCTAGGTGCCGCCCAAGTTAACCTAATTTTCCCTCCTATATATGTATCATTACTCACCTTGTAATGCACTTTTGAATATATGAGAATTTCTGAAATCATTCTTCAGCTAATTCCCTCAAGAGTCACCGAAATTCCAAGAGAGAAAACCAAAGAGAATGCCTTCAAAATCCTTAGGAAAACCTAATTTCCTTTCCTTTGAAGTGTGCAATCCTTTGATTGCTTGAGCTTGGATGCTTCCCTCTACTATTTCCGCGTGTGTTCTTCCTCCTAAAGGCGTCATCTACTTGAGTTATCTCCATTGAAGAAGGATCCGAGCTTAGAAGTAGCTTAGGAGAAGCTTGTTCATCACTTCTTCTACTCACTTCTATCACTATGTTGTGAGTTGTTTATTTATTTTAAATTCCAATATTTAATCGATTTAAGATGATGTATTGTTTTGATGTCTTATAACTCTAAGGATTAAAGGTATTTGTAAGAGTTTAGTTGTTTGAGGTCGTTTTGTGTTGAGGTTAAAATCAACCAAGTTTGGGAGAAGTATATAAGGTTCTTTGAAGACTTGAATTTCATAAGTACATTTCTTAGAATTTTAGAGAAATAGGCTCCAAAGCTAAAAGAGTTATTTTCTTCTTCTGACATCAAAGGAGCGTCTCAATCCTTCTCCTAAAGTAGTGTTGTGCTAGCTGAGTTGAGATTTTAAGTTAAGGAGTTGGGAATTAGTGGTTGAAGTTGTCGTACGACGAGTTCTTATAGGGTTTTTTTCTTCATTGAATTAGAACTAGAGGAGTAAGTTGAAAGTTGATTTGTAGTAGAGTTGTATGATGATAAAATGTATAATGTTCAATGAAGTTGTGTTGTGAATGCTTAATGCATGTAGTTGTATTGTGTTGTTAACTTAGAATTAGAGGAGGGATGTTGTTTTAAAAGATGAATATCTTATTGTGATGATATGGTGTTGTGATACTTTGAGAGACCAATTGTTGAAAAACCTTTATTGATTATAGTTGTCTCTTAAAGTGGAATGTTGAGTCTACTTTAGATCCTTAGTTGATTCTATATAGGGACAAGGTTGAGTTATACTTAGAAGTGACTAATTGAGTAAGGTACAAGGTCGAAAGCTAAAATCTCTAACTAAGTACTAGATAAAATGCAATATTTGGAGGGTAGTTGATGAACTAATTTCATATTAGACCTAATTATGTATACTAAGACCATGGTAGATTCACATCCAAGTTGTTCTATCCTTGACAGAAATATTTGACTTTCCTAGTTTAAGTGATGAAATCCGAGAAATCATGTTGTGTTGTGGATTGATATCCAAATTTGTTGTTGATCTAGCAAGCCTAAAAGATTGCATTATTAAATTGGTTTAATAAGGACAAATCACTTAGACTGTTTACTTGTGTTGTAAGAGATATCTTAATTGAAATACATGATAATGCATTAAGTTGTTGTGCTGCTTAGTTGTGTTGTGTTGACATGTTGTTCAGTTGAAAGGGTTATGTTACTATGTTGTTCACATATAGTGTTGGAGATTTGTATTGTTGATATATTGTGCAATGTTGATCTGATGAAGTGATACATTATATATATATATATATATACATCACAAGCTTAATTAGAAAAAAAATATATTTAAAATCTTATAAAAATAGATTTTATTGAAAATAGACATATTATATATATATATATATATATATATATATATATATATTACTTGTTTTTTGTATATTAAGTTTATCCTTACATTTTCTTGTTGTTGGATTACAATGATAATATTTATATGAGAGCAAAGTAGGATTAGGTCAGAGGTTTTGTTGTTGGAGTGTCATATGGAGATGACGCTTCTTTTATTGGAGACTACTTGTTATAGCTTGTATAGATTAGTTACATGCCTGACAACCTATGATTTATAATTTATAATTGTATAGTTTATAGCTGTAGTCTCATTGAGGGATACATACACACACACACACACACACACATATATATATATATATATATTTTTTATTGTTCAGAATTCTGAGTTGTAAAGTATAAAGACTTATTGAATTATAATAAATTACTTTATTTCTTGTATATATCTTTTTGATAATTTTATTCTTATAATTACTTTTCAAATTACACTTTTTTTCTCTGCCATTTTTATTTAGTTTTGTTTTTTAATTTCAAAAATTACCTAAAAATTGTTCACTCTTTTATTTTTAACTTATCACTTTTATTTTATTTTTTAAAAAATATACAAATGCTTTTTTATGTTAGTATAATATAACATGATGTGATGGGATAGTTTAGAAGAAAAAAAAGTGAAGAGAGAATCTTTAATTAATTTATATATAGACGGATAATATATAGTAAATAATATATTAAGAAAAAAAATGTGTGACGATAATTTTGGGTGGAATTGCAAGCTGTGTGATGATAATTTTGGGTTGAGCGCTTTATGAATGAAAAGGGCAACCTGGGAAACAGCGAAGCATGTGAAGAGCGAAGAAGTGGTTGCGTTGCGTTGCGATAGAGAGGAGAGGGAGTGAGTGCGTGAGCGTGTGGGTGACGGTGAACCTTATAAATAGCTCCCTCTGATTAGGGTTCACTCTCTCTTCAATCTTTTCCTTCTCTCACATTTTGAAGACCTAAACCCGATTCATTCTCTAAATATGCGCCGATTGCAAAAATCCAAAAGAGTTTCATGGGCCTCCGATTTAGATCTTTGTCAGGTAAAATTATCTTTCAGTTGCCTTGCCCAATCCCAAATCCATCCATCCAATACTCCAACCCTACTTGTTTATTTACTCTGTCTTCTTCTCTTTCTTCAATCGAGGGTTTTGCCCAGATGCACTCTAGTAGCCCTAATTCAAATTCTAAGCCCTCCACACTTCTAACTTGTTTTCAATCAAACTTAAGTGATCATATATTAAATAGGTCTTTAATTATCGAAGAAGAAGAAGAAGAAAAACAAAGGTTTTTCTTCCAAAATGTAAAGGAACTACGTGAAATTCATTTCGCTGAATATTAAAATTTCATCATTCCTTTGAAGTAAGGTCATCAGTCAGTTCCAGAACGATCATTTGCAAATGAATTACAATCGGATCGATCTTTCTGTCTTCTTCCTGTGAATTGAGAGTTTTAACTTTCAAAGTCGCAGTGTAGTTCTGACAGGGGAAGGAATCGCCCTAATTGAAATTGTAAATTCTGGCGGACTTTCTTCCGAACTTGATTTCAATGAAACTTAACTGGCCATAGATTAATATTCCTATAAAATAGGCTGTAAATGGTTGAAGAAGAAGAGAAAAGAAAGGTGTTGTTCTTAAGTACAGAGGAACTAACACAACTTATTTGGCAATAGTGCTCTGGGCGATTGTTTTCTCGTGGCATTTGAAACTCCTGATAGGGTCAATTCTGTCTCGCTTCTTCATTCATTTGAAGGTACTGGTAAGGTCATCAGTCAATACAGAAACGATCATGTGGCCGATGTGTCTTGGCTTGTATTCTGAATTGTTGATATGAGATTATGGCAAGTCCAGCTTTGATCATGGCTGCAATCTGCAATCTTGTAGCCTATAGGAGAATGACATACAAGAGAAATTAATTACCAAATACTTTTGCATAAAGAGCTCTAATAAAGGTCGTGAAGAAGGTGATAATGAAATGAGCAAAATGTATTTACTAAGATTTTCTGACAGGAATATGATGTTATATCTCTACTGTCAAAATTTCATGCACCAAGATAACTACAAATTCCTGGGGTTTGATGATTAAATCTGATTTGTGAACTGTATGTATTATTTTAAAGAAGAAACTGTTTTGTGTGATAGTACTGATTGAATGTTTTGGTTCACTTTCATCAAAGCATGGGCATTGTGCTGTGGAGTTGCGGTTTGTTGTATGATTAGAAAAAGCCAGTAATAGCTTCTGCAATTTTAAATTTAATGCAAAGTTACATGGAAGACTTTATATGCAGGGAAAAGAATTTCAGTAACTTAGAGTTAGTACCTGTGTAATTCCTACTTGTATGAAAAACAATTTATTAAGGAGAATGAATTCTCTTTATCAGCTACTCGGTCAATCTTTTTTTTTTTTTTTTTTTAATATTGTACATTTTCTTTTTGTAGATTGTAGGGCATCAGTAGCTCTGCTTTTCTGGATGTTCCTATTGTCCTGTCCTCTATTCAATCTAGTAATGTCTTTCTGCTTTCCAAATGCTTCTGGGAAAGGAAAATTTTCCTTAATTGGATTAGATCTTAAATTGTTTAATGGTTTCAGTATATGTGTAATTGTATGTGTTACTGCTCTTGCATATTATGTCTCCAGACATTATTTGAAATAATTTAGTGTGTAGATATGTGGGTATTAAATTTCTTTTGTCACCCTTGCTTTTTCTTTTATACAAATTTATTTTGTTGCTCATACATTATGTGTGGTCACATGGGTGTCCATGGGTCTGTGAAGTGTTAAAAAAGTAGGAGACTTTTTGTTATTTCATTGCTATTACTATTTACCAAGGGTTTTTGTTGTTGTCCAATCTGAATCGTAAAGTTCTGCAGCTTAGAAGTCTTTGTTGTCTTCCACTCTAAAATTTTGTTCCTTTTGTTTGAAAGGAGGCTAAAGGCAAGACCTCAGCCACTTCCAACATGGGAGGGCCAAGTCATAGTGATAATTTTTGGAGATGACATGTACTGCTGGTGCATGCAGAAGTATGGGAGGAAAAGGTGACAAAAATTCTTGGTTGGACAGCATATTTACTCAGATAACACCTTTCAGAGTGTGACTGTATATAAGTTGTATGAGGTCTTTGTTGTCTGAATCTGAGATGAAGAGGTGGAGGTGGCAGGATCTAATCGGATATGTTATGAAAATTGAAACTGCTTGCCATTTGGATATAAGAATCTGTTATATTTTCTTATCAGGGATCTTAATTTGGTGTTTACCCCCAAGTTTCTGTGCACACAGGTCATTAGAAAAGAGTCAGACTCACTACTTGTTGGCAGATCTTTTTCTATATGTCCAGTTTTGATGACAGGCATCAGTATCTTGCCTAGTAGCTGGGCGAGATTGTAAATTCTGTTTTAATTAAATAGTTTTTCCATCTAGAATGGTGAGATTGTGGATGCAGTTTTGCTTTGATTGCTACACTAGGCTGTGATTTTTTTAAAAAAAATATATTAAGGAATAGAAGATATTGGTTTCTTGGCCTTTTAGGTACAGATTAGATGAAACCTATGAATGTCAGATTGAGCAATTTTTAAGTCATTGATTCTGATTGCGTGTAAAAGTTTGAATGAAAATGTGCTTGTGATATGATTGCAATCAGTCTGAATTCTATGAGATCAATTTATTTTATCAGAATATTTTAGCTAATTGTGTTGGCTTTTAGTGTCAACAGTTAACATTCTATCATCAAAGATTATAATTGGATGAAATCTGTTGCAAATTGCTTGATTGTGTACTATACCAAGTAATGTTATTTTTTTGTATGTGACAAATGAAAGTGATCCTTATGTCAGTCTGAATATGTATATTCATTTTATGCAAAATATCTTCATTGTTATTATATTCCGGGTGGTATATGATTTTTGTGTATTTTGTACTCAATAAGCTCATGCTGGATTACTATATATATCCCCTTCAGGGATAAGATGATTTCCTTTGTTCTTCAAGTTTTTGTGTATTATTCATAATTACCATGCAGCTACTTGAGGTTTTAAGTAGATGAATCAATAATTAGTCATTGAAGAATATTCTGCTTAAATATTGTTTATGAATAAATGTTAGAAGAGAGCTATAAGGCTAAAGACTAATACTTTTTCACTAAACAGGTTAGGCTATTCTTATCGGAGGAATCCCCTTCACAGGTTGGTTTAAATTCTCAAGATCACCTCCAAGCAAAGACATCATTGCTGTTGCATCCTGGCGAAGCAGGTTCTGATGACATTCTGCCTCCTGGATTTGAGGGAACTCATGCTTCAAGTCAGTTCGAGATTATTCCATCACAAATACCAGTTATTAGGTGGACTAATCCTCCAAAGGTAATCTTGTTTTTGTTCTATGTAAAGCAATTTTTTCAGTATTATCTATATTTCAAAATTGGTAGAAAAAAGTAAGAGAATAAAGGTTGTGAAATGAACGAGTTTGTCTTTAATATTGCTTGTTTCTTAGTCAATTTTTTGATTGTCCCAGATTGGTTTAAATCCCACATGGCAAGTGGTGTCCGGGGAAGAAAGCAAAGAGGTAGAGGATCAACGTCAAAGGGAGATGAGAGTACTTGAAGCTATTTATCCTCGCATATCTTCCATTCCTCCGAAGTTCGTGTCTTCTCTTTGCCTTGTACTATAATTTTTCTTGGTTTCCATGCTTTTGTTATCTAAAAATTATTTTTTCCCTGCATTCAGCCCTTCCGTTTCAGTGGACGTTGAAGATTCCCATTACATAGATGATAGTCAAACTCCTTTGATACCAATAACGGCAATTGAAGATGAAGATGCAGCTGCAGGAGCGTTATTGGATTCCTTGGAACCATTTGGTGTTTCACAGTCTCTTGAATTACCTCCTGGTATGTTTAAAGATTCAAACTCTGCTACAAGTACGCAGTTGGCTCATGGTCTGGCATCTGATGTAGCTGCTGCATCTGTTGCTCTGACCAACATTGTGAAGAGCAATGAGCAAGGAAAATTGATTGATCATGAATTACTTAGTAATATTCTCAACAATCCGGAAGTGATTGAGAAGTTGGTTAGAGATTATGGAGCTACTAATAATTCCCAATATGTACATAATGTGGGGTCGTCGTCAGTGAGTTTTTCAAATCCTCCTATTCCTATGAATCAAGGAGAAACTGCTACACCTTCATCGGTTGTTTATTCAGCAACTTCTTCATATGCTCCTCCTCCAACTGGAGGTCAGGTGACAACTGTTTCTACCCCATGGCCTGCTAGGCCTGCAGTGAGTTCATCTGTTGTTTCTTCGCCTGCAGAGGTCCCTGCTCCAAAAGATGTAAACTACTATAAGAGCTTAATTCAGCAACATGGAGGAGATAAACAAGAAACTCTTCCATACTCCAGTAAACGCCAGGTTCATCAGCCAGCAGCAACAAACTATGAGACAACATACAATCAAAGAGCGAAAGGATCAAAACCAAAGATAATGAAGCCTTGTATCTTTTTCAACAGCTCTAGAGGATGTCGGAATGGAGCTAACTGTTCATACCAGCATGACGCATCATATCAGCCACGGGGTAACGCCGTGTCAGGGATACAGAGTTCAAAGAGGATGAAAATGGATAACGAGATTAGTGGTTAAATGAAGAACCCTGTTTGCTGGTGGTGTTGATTACCGTTCATTTTGATGGGGACGGGTTAATGCAAGTCCATATCTTACGCGTTTGTGATGTGGTCAAGCTGACATTTAATTTCATGAGCAATTCCGAGCCTTGATTGCTTCTACTTTCTAATGCTACATTTTTCAAGGAAAGGCTCCTCCTCATTTTCTTCCCTTTGAGAATCTTCCAAAATTGCTGCTTTTTTGGATCAATCTTTCATGATTGTAATTTTACATGAGACTGATTGCAGGTACCACCAGCTGGATGATGTATTAATTTTCTTTTTCCTTTAAATTCTGGCAATATAGTTTACATTTTTGTGCAATTTAATCTGCCTTGACGTTAATATTGCCAATAATAGGAGAAAAAATTGGGCCGTTTACTTCTATTTTTATTTTTTAATTTCAAAGTTGTCACCTTATTTTCATTGTTTCTTGTTTTTAAAGATTTGTCCAGGAAACACTAAAAATACTTCTCTCTCTTTCTCTCCCAACCTCCCTCTCTCTATTTTCCTTTACAAATATTTGAAAACAGGAAATAACAAATTTGTAATTAAAAAACAAAAATAAAAGTAAATGAACTTTTTGTTAATTGTGGATATGAAATTTACCTTTTTGAGACGAGACATTGCAGCAAACAACATCTTGCATAATTTTCTCCTTAATTCGTGCACTAAATTTATAAACATTTAGAGAGCTCAGTAGGGCCTCTCCAATCAAAGAACTCAATTTCACTGTTTATGTGTCCCACGTGACACATCACACTTCTAAGAATTTAAACCATTTTTTCTTTATTGGTAGACTGTTAACATGATTCTTACTTAATTTCTCTAAATTTTTGTTATACTGAAAAAAATCCATTTCAGTTTTTTTTTTTTCTCTCTCTCTCTTATTGTCGAAGTACCAAATTCCTATTTCAAACACCTTCAGCTTCCAAGCTCTGTTCCTTCCCAATGCTCCCATTTTAAGGCAACACTAGTGCTAGTGTGTGGAGAAGAGAAGAATTTTGGATTTGAGAGGGAGAATGAGGAAGGGTTTGGTTTGTCTAAAGGGAGAATGAGGAAGTGTCCCTTCTCCCTCTCTCTGGTGACATATCCTTCTGCACGCTCTGGAATGTCCGACCACAGCCACGACCAAGATCCTCTCATGCGCTTTCGATGCCAACAAACCCACTTCATCGTCCAACTTAATCATACAATCAAATCCTTCCCTATCTCCTCTTATTTATCATTTTAAACGAAAGAAAATTCTACATCTACTTGCGGATTTCATATTTGATTTTTTTTTTATTTTTTTTTCTGGATCTCTAACTATGTATTTAATTTTAATAAAATGAAGTTCTCTTTTTTTAATTGCCAAGTTTATTTTCAATTTGTGAATAATACTTGATCAGCAAAAATTATATCTTATAAATGCAGATTAATTCTTAATTGTTAGTTTTAAGAATCTGACTTATCATATCTATAAAATTTGATTCAAGTAAGTAGTCATAATATAAACCTTAAAAGAGGAGTTATTTATTTATTTATTTTATTGATTATCAATACCAACACAACTAATTATTAAAATGAAAACAGTGGTGGTAAGTTGGTTTTAACCTTTGATTAATTCTGTTTTCATTCACGATGTCTAAATTTTTTACAACACTTTTTTTTCTCACTATGTTTCCTTCAATACATTACTTATCTCATTTTTTTCACTTTATTTTTCCTTTCTTTTTATTATTGTGGAAATTATGCTAGAATAACAATACCTTTTTTAAAAAAAAAACTTTTTAAGAACTTAACTATGAAAGAACGGTTGGTATAATATTGAATTGAAGCATCTATCATACCAAATCATGTTTAAGAGTTTATTATTGTTGAGACACGAAAGGTATTGAAGTTAATCAAATATAAAAAAATATCCAATAGAAAAGCATAAAATTCACAAATACGTGACATCATTTTAATGACCAAAAAATTGACAACTAGTAATGGGATTTGCATTGTCAAAAAATCTAATTCGTATTTGCGTTGTAACAAAAACCTACATTCTTATTGAATTTATCAACTCAACTAGACTCAAATTCTTGGTAGAACAAGTAGAACATTACTCACATCGACAACTTTACGTAAGATAAAAATAAAATAAAAAAATAGTGTAAAACAATATGAAAATTCTATTTACCTTATAATTCTTTTGATTGTTTATTTATAAGGTTTAATTATAAATGAGTTATAGCAAAACTAAACAAATTGCCTATATTGCTTTTTAGGTATAGGGTGCATTCTTCTTTTTCTTTCCATTTTTCTATTCATATACTCCATCTATGTTATTTTTAATAAATCGGTGGAAACTCGGGTTGAACCAACGACCAAATATTCTGACCAATTAAACCTTTCTTCAAATTTTTATTTGCTTGCTGTTGTGTGCCTAGTGATGTAGCTTTATCATTGTTTTAAATTCTCGATTTTCATGTGGTGATGATTCCTGTTCTATTATTTGTTTCGAGGTTGTTGAATTTTAAATAAAATGATATTTAAATTAATAGGCAAGTTTTGAGCCCGATTTCATGAATTGAGTATTTCATGCTGTAACATCCCAAATTTTATATAATGGTTAATTATTATATTTATGAAAATTATTTTCCTATAGTTATTAATTAATAAAAAGGGTTCTTTTGTATAAAATATTTTAGAAATTTTAATAAATGATTATTATGTATTTTAAATATTTATGGGATTATTAAAAGGATTTTATAATTAAAAATGATAAAATAATATTCTAGGCTTATATATGCGTGTGTGTGCTATTTAATTATATTATAAATATTATTTATGAAAAATAACTTATTATAAATTTACATGATATTATAGACATATAAAATAAAATAGTTTAGTGGTTTCATTCCTTGTGCTTAGGGACTTCAAGTGCTTGGTGCTGGGTTCAAATCCTATCATGGCCTTATCTAATTTTTTTATAAATTCTTAAGGTAAAAATATTCTTTCGTAAAAATATTCTTTCGTACCCAAAATAAAGTGAGAAAGAAAGATAAGAAGAAAGAAAGATAAACAACTTTAAGGTAAAGAGGAGTAAGTTGAAAGTTGATTTGTAGTAGAGTTGTATGATGATAAAATGTATAATGTTCAATGAAGTTGTGTTGTGAATGCTTAATGCATGTAGTTGTATTGTGTTGTTAACTTAGAATTAGAGGAGGGATGTTGTTTTAAAAGATGAATATCTTATTGTGATGATATGGTGTTGTGATACTTTGAGAGACCAATTGTTGAAAAACCTTTATTGATTATAGTTGTCTCTTAAAGTGGAATGTTGAGTCTACTTTAGATCCTTAGTTGATTCTATATAGGGACAAGGTTGAGTTATACTTAGAAGTGACTAATTGAGTAAGGTACAAGGTCGAAAGCTAAAATCTCTAACTAAGTACTAGATAAAATGCAATATTTGGAGGGTAGTTGATGAACTAATTTCATATTAGACCTAATTATGTATACTAAGACCATGGTAGATTCACATCCAAGTTGTTCTATCCTTGACAGAAATATTTGACTTTCCTAGTTTAAGTGATGAAATCCGAGAAATCATGTTGTGTTGTGGATTGATATCCAAATTTGTTGTTGATCTAGCAAGCCTAAAAGATTGCATTATTAAATTGGTTTAATAAGGACAAATCACTTAGACTGTTTACTTGTGTTGTAAGAGATATCTTAATTGAAATACATGATAATGCATTAAGTTGTTGTGCTGCTTAGTTGTGTTGTGTTGACATGTTGTTCAGTTGAAAGGGTTATGTTACTATGTTGTTCACATATAGTGTTGGAGATTTGTATTGTTGATATATTGTGCAATGTTGATCTGATGAAGTGATACATTATATATATATATATATAT